GAAAAGTATAGAATAAAATTTTAGAATTAAGGACCCAATTGCATAAAATTAAAAGTCTAACATTTCAAATTAAATTATGTAAAAATTTTAAGGGTAAAATTTTTTTCCTAAATAGTGGAAAGTAAGGGCTAAAAGTGAATATTTGAATAAAAGAAGGGTTTAGGAAAGAATAGGCTAAGGAAATCTCTAGAAACTTGAACTAAAATTTGTCATTTTTAGTCAACTTTGGCCAACTTAAAACATTAATTAAGTTTGACTTTCATTATGGCCAAAATTAGGCTAAATGGAAGGCTTAAACAAAAGAAGAATAAATAGCAAAAAATTTAGCCAAATAAAAAGAGATGATTGGGAATTAAATTAAGGATTGAGAATCACCCAAATTAAGGGTGGAGATAAATTCAAAAATCTGCAAAATTCATCTATAAATAAGGGTGCTGAAAAAATTAAAAATGCAAAGAAAATAGAAAAACACAAAGGAAACTCTTGCAAAATTTTCACTAAAAAATTGACCAAAATATTCCTAACCAATTTTAGACACTCCTAATCAATGGATTAAGCCTAAGTTTCAAGTTGGGAGCCAAAAATTTCCAAGGAGAAGATGAAAAGAGCTAATCCGAATTTAGGAGAAAAAAGAGGAGTAAAAGAATTCTCAAGCAACCTACATTTTCAAGGTTAATTTGGAACTTAATCATGTAAGTTAACTTCACCTACATCACAAGGCATGTTTTATTGTTGTTAATTTGTTGTATATGCCTTAATTGGTGAATTTTAGGTTAATTTAAAAAATTATGGTTAGGGTTCTTGATGAACAAAAATTAGGGGAAATGAATTTGGGCTTGTAATTCATATAATTAAGGTTGAAATAGGTTGATTGGGCTAGAAATTTAGGTTTGAAACTAAAAAATTCATAGGGTTTCTTAAGGGGTACCATTTGGCCTCGGTGTTTAATTTGGGAGTTTTCAATCCTTTCATGTAATTGATGTTTTATGGCTTAATTATGACTTATTTAGGTTTAAATTAATGCTTAGGGATAAAAAAATTCATTTTAATTGAGAAAAAATTTACAAAATATCAAGGGTTGTATTTGACCTAATTAGGAATTTTTAGGGTTTGAGTTTCATGCATCCAATTTATGGTTTTATGATGAATTTTTACTTGAATGATTATGTTTTGATGTGTAGAAATGAAAAATTTGAAGAAAGTTGAAGAAAATTGGTTAAATGGACTTAGGTCTAATTTCGGCCCATTAAGGCCCAATTCGAGCTTGAGCATGATTTTGTACCCTAAATATTAATCAAATTGATTCCTATGCTTAATGTATAATTTAACTACTTGGTATTAAAATTATTTGTAAAATGAGAAGAAAATATTAGAGTTTAGACTTAGGGAGAATTCGACCTAAATTGGGAAGTGTAGGGTTTTAGGCTTCAATTGATTTCTAATGTCCAAATTGGGTAATTAAAACTTAAAAAAATGTAATCAAATGAATTAAAATGAATAAATTCATTAAAACCTAAGAAAATTACTTATGTTAGTCAAGTTGATGCTTAGGCCCATTAAGGCCCAAATTAAAATTTAAGCATATACATCACCCAATCAATGCCTAATAATGTCAATTCATGAGTATAACATAATTGAGAAGAATTTGGTATGTGTTGTATGTTAAGAAATGGATATAAATGGTTAGGCAATATTAAGGTCTAATTCATCCTAATATAGGAATTTAGGGACTTTGATTTAATTTGTGTATTTTTGGTTGTAGTTGTGTCTTGAATAATGTTTAATATATTTATGTATGAATGTTTTTTTAATAGCATGTGAATGATGGTGAGGTTATGTTATCGAAATTATAATGGTATGAAATGTGATGGATATTATCATAAGAAAAAGGTAATGTTATTAATGCCGTTATGTCGTTAAATTTATATATTTTCATGACATGGATTCATGACCATTTAGGGCATGCATTTTTATGAATCAATGTTAGTTATGCATTTTCATTTAAAATACATAAGCATGCCAAAGTTCATGAAAGGTATTTTAAGTCATGAAAGGTATTTTAAGTCATGAAAATGTATTTTTTATCATGATTTTTGATAGCGATCAAAAATGTTTTTAAAGGATATAGTTTTTTATGACTTTGAGGATTTTTATGAGAATGGATTTCATGGGTCTTCCATATGGTAAGGGTAATGGTTTTGGATCGAGCAAGGGTAGACGTGCATTTTTAAAGGCTCGGTATGATGCGTCAATGAACAAGTCCGGTTCACCATACATATGTTATGAAAACCTTGAAGTACCTAAAACGAGACATGTTCAAAGACGGAAAGATGATTTTCAAATTGTTTATGAAATGTTTTATGACATAGAGAAATGATTTATTATGTATACACAAGCATTTTATACTCGCATATACATACACATACACTACATGCGTACGTTAACTTATTGGTCGTAGCTCATATAATTCCTTGTGATGTAGATAAATAAGAGATGATGACTTACTTTTCCGTGGAGCTGATTATCGAGGGATGCACCAAACGCTTATACCTTGGATTAGGATTCGGCTTCGAGTAGATTTGCTTCATGCTATTTTGATTATAGTATTGGCTATAGTTTGATATGTACTAGGTTTAGTTATTTGTTCTATGCTATAGTAAAGGCTATGAAAAAGTAGATGAGGTGACATGAAAAATAGTATAGTAGTAAATAAGTTAATTTTGTAATAGTTGGTATAAAACTGGTTTGTATGTAAATAGTGGATATATGTAATTGAATTACTAATAGTAAAATATTAGTTTATCGGTAGTAGCGTAGTTACTCTAGATTGTCCATTGCATGGTAGTATCCTTAGGACATTTAAGTAAATTGATCAAACACGCGCCACATAAAAAGAATAATTACTTCAAAAAAGAATCAACGATGTAATAATAATAATAATGAATTATACTTAAATAATTTTTCAATAATTAATAAGGAAAGAATTTAAAATAATAAATAGCCATGAATCCGAGTTCAAGGAATGTAAACAAAGGGTTAAACGTGAAAAATTTATAACGTTTTTTCGGTTGAAGTATAAGACCTACTTAATAAATATTAGATCATTAAGGTGTACATTTCACTTTAGATACTAATATCAAATCACGATGGCTTATTAACTTGTATCCATTGCACTTCAAATGTAGGTTAAGCTGGGTAATATTCTTAACTTTATAGGTCCTAGGTTGGGGTGTTACGGAAAAGCTGTCATACCACCTCAAACACCACTTCTACCACCAAACATTGATTAAAAACCAAATGAAATCCCATAGCATCTCGAACACCATTTCAACCTCATGGCTCCCAAGAAATGGCAAGAAACATATTCTATTTCATCTCGGAGTCTTAAAATGGCATAGAATTGAATCCTAGATGATCACTTATAGGAATGACATAATGTTAATCCATGTTCTACACGGTCAAGGAAGCATTGTTTTTTAATTTCATTAAGATTTGGTTGTTTGGAAGAGATTCTTTCTCGATCATAATATTGGAATGAAAATTAAATTCTTTGTAATTTTATACCAATTGTGGATTACCTCTATTATTCTATTATTTTGATGATTAATTAGTTCCAAAATTTTTTATTTTGATCATAAATAACATCTTGTCAAAAATTAATCACAAACAAAAAATATAAAAAATTTGCAACTAATTTATTTTGGGTTGCAAATTATCCATTTTTAGTGATGGTTTCTATTGTTGTATTTGAAATTTACTATCATATGTTGAAAAATGTTAATGTGAAGGTTAATGAAATAATATGAAAGGGTACATAACAATTCTCTTATGTTTTCATTTTACTTTTTAACCAAATTCTCTTTTATTTACACAACAAACTAAAAAAAGGTTGGAGGTTTACTATTCTCTCTATTGGTCATTGTGACCTAATGTCACTATGGACACTACAATGACATTTCCTAGCCGTCCATTTTTTTTCTCTTGCTAATCTTGAGCGTCCATCTCTCTTCTTATATTTTGTTTTGCCAAAATAAGTTCTACTCTTTCTAATTCAAGATTTTGCTTTGACTTTTGGCCTTTTATATTTTTGATATTTCATTTTTTCCATTGGATAGGTTGTTGTAATTACATTATTAGTTCCTATTAATTTTAACTAATCCCTCATTTTCCTGATTTATTTTATTTTCCTCTTCATCATTGCTCTTTTTTTCTACCTCTCAACCCATTGTATTATTTTTTCCTATTTTTGGTCGTTGGATTTGCTTTGTTAGATGGAGATCGTGTAATCTCTACAACTAATGACTGATCGCTAATCTCTAAATATCCGTATCTATCAAGACTTTTAATAATTTGACAAAAAAATGCCAAAATTTGATGTTGGGGAGGGATTTCAAGTAGTGGGAGGAGGTCGTTAATAGAAAATTTTTGGACTTTGAGAAGCAATAACATGGCTATTGGTGTGGTCATGTGGTTGACAACGGTGTTTGTTGTTAGCAACAAAGGTTGTTAGTAATAGGCATGAGAATGTTGATAGTGGGTTTTATGGTTGGGGTTTGGCATAGAGGAGGGTAACGGGGCTATTGGTAGTGGAAATTAGTATGGAAGAGGGCGGTCGGTAAAAGTTAATGTTGGGTAAGGGTTTCGAGTGCTGGGGGCGAGCTATTGGGAGAAAAGTTTTAGCCCTCGAGAGGTGGTGGCTTGGATATCGATGTAGTCATGTGGTTGATGATAATGGGGGTCGTTGGTAGTGAATGTGGGTTTGTTGATAGCGATTTTTGGTTGTGAGAATTTGGTATAGAGGAGTGTAGTGGGTTTGTTGATAATGGATATTGGTGTGGAAGAGGACATTGGTCGTTGTTGGTGATGAGTTTTGGTGAGTGGAGTTTAGTATGGGAAGGTTGGGTGTGGCTATTTCGGTTAGCTAGTTGGTAGATTATGAGGAAGTCGGGTGTGGCTAGAGTTTTGAGGATGATCGACGACGGGTAAAAAAAGAGACAACAATGGCAAAGAGTTAGAGAAGATTAGACAACATTAGTTTTTTTTTTCTTTTCCTTTTGTTTACCAAGTCCGATCATATAGTAACCATTTCTCTCATGATGTTAGTTTAGGTGGAAATGATTCTTCTCATAGCTATTAACCATTTATCTTGCTTCCTCTTAGGCATCTTAAGCCTCATAACCTCTTGATGGACTCGCAAGACCATGATGCTTAAAATAACTAATGTTAGACTAGCTCGAGCATTTACCCTTCTTATTAAGAAGTATACCCATAGGATAATTAAATTAATACATGTTTGCTGCCCACCATCCCTTTGTCATGCTCCGGCAATATCAATTTGTTAAGCTAATTGAGTAGAATTTTTGTTTCACATTATGGTATAGATATCCTAAAGTCCTTTTAGGGGCTTTTGATTATTCAACTACAGTGGATGTTTGATTTGTTGATTGTATATTTGGTATGAATTTTTTTATTCTTTAATTTAATCCACTAATCTTCTAACTCTAGAATTGCTAAGCTATTTTGTTTGTGTTTTGCCTAAACTCTAGCTAAACTGGCTACAAAGCAAGCATTCTTTCTTGAAGACTTTGAACTATAACAGCTCCTACATATTTTCAGGATTGGCTAGATGATTTTTGCATAGTGATGGATGGTTTGGATCTTGCTTTATTAATTGAGCTTCTCTTTATTATACATTTTAAAACTCTTGTCTTCTAATTTTAAATCTCCTCATTTAAAATCTTTTTAAAATTCCCTTTTAATTTGTTTTTTTTTTTATAATTTATATATGTTTTGCAATTTTTCATGTGATTGATCTAAACGGAAATAAGTTCACTGATAAGAGTGTTATCTTAATTAGTAATTAAACAATGGAGGTTTTCGTGGTGATCGAAGTTTGCTTCATGTTTTGTATGTTTAACAGTCGCTTGGTCCCATTCATTATGGGAGAAAACATGGTTCTAGCGATTTAACAGGATTAATTAGAACTAACTGGTACCGATCGGGTTGGCCTTCTTTCGGAACCGTTTGCAGCACTACCTGACCTACAATGCAGTGTGGTTAATGCTAGAGTTTGGACTCACAATGATCGAATTGCATCAATGATATGTGTTAAAAATTCCAATTTCGGGTCACCAATTGAGGACACACAATATATTGATAGAATAGAGGCATGTTTAAAGAATGTTCTTAAGGGAGATAATGATATTAAACTACGGTATCAATGGCAGCCACCCATATGGAAAGAAGTTTGCATCAAATGATGTTTGCTGACAGGGACCATGAGGGAAAGACTTTTTTGCAGGGATATAATTACGGCAATAATTCAATTTTAATGAGGACCACGAAGAAGGCACCATGATTTGTATATAACCTTATCCCCTGTAATCCCATCATGATTTGAATATAACCTTATCCTCTATGCTCTTATTTTGTTTTAGTGCAATTAAGTTAATCATTCACTTAATTGCTTCCTTTTTATATTAGTTTAATATCATTCACTTATTACTATGAAATTAGAAGAATTTTTTTAATTTTTAATTTAATTTAATTTAATTAATTTATATGATGATACATGCTATAAAATTGAAATAAATGTACTTTATTCTACCAGCTGCTTAGCATGACAGGCTGACGAGTACCAAAAAAACAACATAAGCACAATATTATTTCACAAGCTTAGAATAACAAAGGTACATAGATTCAACTACAGATTGAAGAACAATGGCATCCGTCCTGATTCACATATAGATAATACTCAAAAAAAATTGAGTCGCAGAAGTGAACCTGACGTACTGTTTATTCGCGCCGAAATTAAGCAAAGAAGACTCAACAATAATTGAGTTCCTGATTTTTTTACGAACATCAAACCAAGCCTGAACCACTAAACTTCTCTTCCATAATTTGGTCGAGTTTTTCTGCCTTCTCATTTGTCAAATAATTTTTCCAGTCACCTGCTTTACCTTTCCTGAAAAAATATTTGTTTTCGAAAGTAGGGAGGTCAGGAAGGTAATACTTTCCATTCTTATTTACCTCCAAACGGCTCAGAGTCTCAAAACTACACTTTTTCACTATATTCTCTGCAACCCCTTGTTGCTCTTCCTCTACGGAAAAAGGTTGACCCAGGAACTTGGCCATTCTCTTTACATGGAATGGTCCATCGGTCTTCAAATCTTCATACTTCACGAACAGTACCTTCTCCGGGACTTCCAAGCTTGCTTTCCAGAACCCCAGAACGTGGTCCCAGTAGGGTCCATAGGGATAGATCCCTTTACAGTATTGCTCTAATGCTTCTTCCAGAGGGAAGGATTCCAAGCCGATGCCACTCACTTTATGATCAAAATTCCAATGAGAAATTAGGACATCCTTGGGATCCCTGCATATGTAGATAATCTTACAGCCTGAGTCTATTATGGATTTTGGCAAAGAAGTGTAAGGAATGTGTGTTGCCACGAATGGAATTTCTAGGTTTCTGTTACTTGAATTTTGGGCAAGCTCGATCTCCAAAAAGGGTACGATTTCATGAGGCAGTTTTTCGAGCAAAGGGTTTGTGGAATCATTGACCTGATTTCGTGACACAATGGAAAAGGCCAATGCTTTGAGCCAAGCTGTGCCGCTTTTCGGAGAGCTGCACAAGACAACATCAGTTGGTTGGGGAGTGAAGGACTCCTGAGCTGAAATTACTTTTTGTAGCACCAATGGAGCGTACCAAAATCCTTGATACTTGTAAAGTTGCCCAATTGATTTCCAGCCATTATCTTTAGGAAGATTTGAGATTATCTCTTCAAATTTGCTATCGGTTTTTGGAGCTCCATTGATTTTTGAAGCATCAGTCATTTTGGAAAGGGATAAAGAGAAGAGAAGATAAAATGTGAAATTTTTTTGTGTGCAAAAGTTGATGTTTTTGTGAAGCCAATCGGACAGGGCCCTTGTATATATAGGGAAGTTGATTACTCCAGCCAATGGATCGTTAGGTGGCAAACAAAGGTATTGCGACATGAATAATGATTCCATAAACATAAAGTTAACAAAATAATAAATTAGAAACTCAGTTATTTTATAAAGACAAAGTTAGCTTAATGAAGATATAAAAAAATATTAGAAACTCACTCCACTATGTATAAAGGCCCATTAATTTCCTCTATATTAATCTTTATCTCACTACTAACAGGAAGAGCACATCAACAATATTGATAAAAGCATAAACAAATAAATTGGCTAATCTCTTGTATTTACAATTAGGTATCGCTTGATTACTATAAATAAATTATCTAGAATGGAAGTATATGAATTAAAATTGTATTTTTATTACAATATTGTGATTGGAATCGTAATAAGAAATTAAAACGAAATTTAAAGTTTTTTTTTCAATATTTGGTTTTTAAAATAAATAAAAATAATGATTAAAAAATAGTTTCATCAATTATAATTATAGTAAAAATGATACAAGTGATGGTGGTGATAGAAGAGAAGATAGTGGTGATAATAATAGTAATATTATTAAAAAAAAATTGATACTACAGGTGGTAATGGAAGAAGCATGGTAATTATGGTGATATCATAAAAATGATCATGAGAGTAGCATAGTCACAGAATTACTATAATAATAACATTTTCATTTTTTTTTATCACCAATGTAGTAGTGGTGGTGTTGTGGTAAAGTTAGTGGTAGGGTGACTATGATAGTTCAAATAGTTGATTCATAATAAATAAAAATAATATATCATTATTTAAAAAAAAATTATTTTCATATCTTTTTATTAAAATAAAATTATATTTAATTTTTATTTTCATTCTCACTCTTCATTTTTATTTCTAATTTATTTTGTCAATTAAATACCTAAAAAATAAAAATAAAAATTTATATTTTCATTTCTGTCATTCTATTTTTAGTAACTAAATCACACTATAAGATTTGCAAGTTTTTAATATTGCGATTGAAGCTGATGCTCAAGTAGTGATTAATTCTATTAATAGCCAAGAGAATGACAGATCAAGCTTTGGTCTGTTGATTGATGATTGTGGTTCTTTTAAGGATTGCTATTCTAATTTTGATTTCTATCAATAACGAAGCTTTTCTAGTTCAAAAAATAATAAAAATAAAAATAAAAATAAAATCACACTATAAGTTACAATTCAAACTCTTTCTTTGAAAAGTTTGAGTTTACCTCATTATTAAAAAAAAAAAAAAAAGTAGTATGCTAATCAATGATGGTAGGATTTTATTTATACTTTTTTTTTAAAAAAAAAACGTAGGTTGGACCCTCCACAACCTATGTCCAATCATCCTTACTGACTATTCAAAGCTTTTATTTGATAAAAGTTTTGCTAATCATCCTTTTTTCCTCTATATTCATAGCAAATGGCCATCTTTCATTTATATTTTAAATTTGGTTAATTACAACCAAAATTGATAAAAAGTTGACCAATTGATCTCAATCAATTACTGCCTCTATCAAAAGACCAAATGCACTTCATAGAAATACAATAACTGATTTTAATTTTTTTAGGAAAAAAATTAGAAAAAAAAATTTGTAATAAGAAAATGTTATAATATTATAAGTTAAAATAATCATTTGAAAAAAATAGTAAAGATAACAATTTTTATAGTGAATTTAATGCCACCAAAAAGAATATGGGTATCTTTCCGTGGCTTGGACTAAAATCAAACAAGTATTATATAATAATGGATAAGAAAATAAATAGGTAAACTAAATCTAAATGTTTATCACTTTAATGGAGAATATTGGTCTCCAGAAATACCCACGTGCTGTGCAATAAAAACTACTTTCTTTGTTTATAACTAAATAACTAAATGTGAGATAAAATAACATAAATAGATATCAATCCAACAAATCCACCCTAAAGGTCTGTATTGGGAAAAGCAAAAGCTGCCACCACATGTTTTCTTTGAGTAAATTGTAAATTAATCCTTCATGTTTTAAGAATGGAATTAATCAGTTCCATTTGTTTCAAAAAAATTAATTAATCTTATATTTTGAAATTTATTTATAATTTAATCGTTTTCTCATTTTTTATTTTAATAAATAGAAAAATAAAAAAATATAGAAAGATTGAGGAGAAATAAGATATTTTATAAAATAAAAACAACATCAGTCAACAATGATTAAAAAACTAAATAATAATATTAAACCAAAAAGGATTGATTGATTGATTTTTTAAACTAGAGGGACTGATTTATAATTTATTCTGTTTTCTTTCTGTCTAACTTTTCTTTCTGTCGGTGCAACAAAATTTAAAAAATAAACAAGGATAATATTAAAAGTCCCCACTAGGAGCAATCATATGTAAATGCAAGAGGGGGATCCTCCAATAGAAAGGGGACAATTGCCTGCCTACCTACCTATAGTTTGGATTTTCCATGGGAAATACATTGCCGAGCATCTTACCGTACCCATCATAATAATAATAATAATAATAAAAACTTCCTGTTATGATCTTGACATTAAAATCTTTTTGTCGTGATCTAAAAATGATCCCTCAACTCTATAAATTATTTACAAATAAAACTTTGAATACCTTGAATCATATATGATTGTTTATTTTTTTTTAAATATTTAAAGTTAAAAGGGTCTAATTATTTTTAAACTTTATTGTCCAAGTTCGAGTCTCTAAACTTTTTTATTGGTTTTTGAGATTTCTAAACTTTTAATTTCTTAAAATTTAATATATCTTTCAGTTTTCTATTATTTATCTAAAAAAATAACAATAAAATAAATAATTTTATTATGAAAATCATTCAATGAGATTTATGTTAAGCTCCTAAAAAAATTGAAATCATATCAGGATTTTTTTATTTTTCTCAATTTTTTTATTTTTAATGTTTTAAAAATAAACAAATATAGTTTTTGAATTTGAATAATTCTATAATATTTCTACAAAATAGGTTAAATTTTTTTCAACTTGTGTGTAAAATTTTAAATCAAAATATTAAGAATTAAACTTTTTAAAAGGAAAGATGATAATTGAAAATTATTGAATGAACTAGATCTCAAAAAATTAAAAGTTAAGAAATTATCAAAACTAATAAAAAGTTCAAGACTCTACGTAAAATGACTTAAAGTTCGTAAGTGTTTAAATTCTTCAAGCACTATAATATATGTTTGTATGAGAATTTTGTATAACAATTTTGTTTGTATAATCCTAGTAACAATAATAAACGATCTTTTAAAATGTTTTTTTTTTAAAAAAAAACTATGTAATTTTTAGTTGATCAATAAACCAAAAATTCCACATATTTTTT